TCAGCCCTGTAAGAGAGCACTATACAGTTTGCATTTGAAGAAATAAATGTTCAAAGTTTAAGTCAGGGTCTCATATTGAATGCATAACAGATTGAATACACAAGTTTCTATTTGTGTAGCTTCTGTGCTTGTGAATTATCTACTACAGTGGTACTTCAAGAAAGACACTGAAAGTTTTATAGAGAGTTAAGATTTTCCTTGAGGAAATATTAATTGCAACTACTTCACAAATATCATGCATGAGAAACATACTGCAACCAAGTTGGCTTTTATAAAAGATATTTGATATTTGAAGTGCTCTTAGATTTTAAAAATTTTATTTTAATAGCTTTAGTAAGCCCATCCTTTAGAATGAAAACCTGATTTATAAGAAAATGGTTATGAAAATACGCGAAATTTAAGCTAACCAATTTTAAACTTAAACTCTAAACCTTTAAGCAGTTACTAAAATTCAAAATGAACAGATTTTCAGAGGATCTCAGCTCTTTCACAGAGCAGGTCTAAGTAAAGCCATTTAACTATTCAGTCATAAAAAAGATAAACTATGCCATTGGCAGCAACATGAATGGAGCTAAAAGGGATTATGCTTCATGAAAGTTAGAGAAAGAAAAATATCAGATGGTTTTTTTACAGGAGAAGTATAGGGGGACCAAATAAAGCATTGGGGGGAGGGAGTAACAAAACAAAACTAGACAACTGTAAATCTGAAACATTCTGCAGGAGACAGAGAGAGAGGGACAAGGGAAGGAACAGCGTAAAGTACTATGGCGATGGTACATTGGTGACATTGGTGGTGAAAATTCTATGGGGATTTTATACCTGAGAAAAGAAAGTAAACACTTTTAAAAAATGAACAATGATGTAAAATAAATAAATAAATAAATAAATAAATAAATAAATATATATATATATATATATATATATATAAAGCCATTTGTAAAAAAAAGTTAATTTTTTTTTAACGATCAATTAGGAAATAGAGGACTTAAACAACTCTATATACAGCAACTGGACCTAACATTCATATAAAAGACATTCTACCCAACCAGTTTTTATTTATTTATACATACAAGAACTGGAGCATAGGCCAGAGGTGTAGGGTGGCTGGTGAGGATTCAAAGAGACAGAGTGCGGAGCAGAAAAAGTGGATCTACTGAAATACAACAAGGGGAGCAGCAGGTCAGACAGGGGAAGTTCTCTGTGCCACATGGATTAGCTCCCCAGCAGGAAATTTAACTCTGGCCCCATGATTGCCAAAGGATCGATAGCAGTGAGGTATTAACACCTGTGTGCTACCAGGGAGGCCCCAAACATGTTATAGAAGATGCATTTTTCTCAAGGACGCATGAAACATTCTTCTAGACAAGATAACAGTATCAATGGCATAAGGAAACCCAAAATATCCACAAATAGGTGGAGATTAAACTACATATTTATTTATTTATTTATTTTCAAATGTAAGAGGGACTTACTGTAATTGAGTGGTCATAAAATACCTTATATAAGCTGGCCCTCCCTGGTGGCACAGCGGTTTAAAGCACAGCACTAAGAAGCTAAAGCCACTTCAGCATGAGTTCGATCCCCGCCCAGGAGTGACCACATGGCACTGCTCCCAGCCTCAGTAGTGTACTTCATCCATCTGCCTGTTCTGCTTCCCACTCTATCTCTGGTGAATCCTCTCACCGCCCCTGCACCTCTGGCCTGTACTCCAGTTCTGTGTGCATCAATAGATAAATCTTTAAAAAACTTAGGACAACTAAAAATTAAGAAAAAGGGGTCATACAACTGATGACACAAAAATAAAAAGGATAAGAAAATACTATGAATAACTATTTGTCCATAAAGTAGACCACCAAGAAGGAAATAAATTCCTACAAACACCTAGGCTTAGAAAAATCAGGAAAAGAAAATCTGAGGAAAAAAAAACCCTAATGAGCAAGGATACTGAATCAATAAGTAAAATCCCCCAATAAAGAAAAGCCATATGGTTTCACTGGAGAATGCTACCAAACATTTAAAGAATTCACACTAATCCCACTTAGCTTTCAGAAAATACTGAAGAGGAAAGAACACTTCCAAGTTCATTCTATGAAGCTGGTATGATGCAGATTCCAAAACTGCAGAACAGTATTCTTGATGAATAATCATGCAAAAATCTTTAACATAGTACTAGCAAGCAAAGTTCAACCATACATTAAAGGGATTTATATCCCATGATCAAAAAGGGTTAATTCCTAGAATACAAGCATATGCCATCCAATGATAACAGGATGACTAATACCATACTAACAGATTAAAGGACAAAAACACATGATCTCTATACATGGGTGACAAAATTGAACACTTTCATGACAATAAACGTTCAACAAAACAGCAACAGAAACTATCTCAATGTAACAAAGACCTATTACAAAGTGCCACATCAAATATCATTCATAATAGTGAAAGACAACTTAAGATCAGAAACAAGGTAAGGATGACTGCTCTCCAACATTTCTATTCAAAGTAGAGTTGAAGTTCTATCGAGAGCAATTAAGGAAGAAAAAGAAAAGGCACTCAAATCAGAATGAAAAAGATGGTATGATCTTTTTCCAATCACATATGGTATGATCTGTTATGTAGAAAATAACTAGCCATTTCAGACACAAATGCACATCCACACACAATAAAGTTAGTATTAATAAATTCAGCAAAATCAACACACAAAATTTTATATACACTGGTAAAGAACCAAAGAAAGTTAAGAAAAAAATTTTATTAGTCAATTCCATTCACACAGCATAAAAAAGAATACTTAGGACTAAACCTAATCAAGGAGGTCAAAGACTTAGAAAATGAAAATAAAAAATGGCTGAATAAATTAAAGACACAAATAAGCAGAAAGACACTGTGAAAGGAACGGATTTCATCTAAGGTAAAGCAGTATTAAGATGGCCATTCTATACAAGACAGTTTTTTGTTTTGTTTTGTTTTTAAGATGTATCTATACATACAAGAACTGGAGTGCAGGCCAGAGGTGCAGAGGAGTAACAGGATTCACCAGAGTGGGAAGCAGAAAAGGAGGGCTGACTGAAATGCAATGCTGACAGCGGCAGGCAAGAGAGGAAAGGTCTGCTGCACCATGTGGGTTAGCTCCCTAGCTGGCTGTGCTGCAGTGGCTGCAGATAGCTTCATAACGCTGAGATTTAACCCCTTGCACTACCAGGGAACACGCACCCAAGGTAGCATATCTAATTCGACACAATTCCCATGACAATGCCAATGTTAGTTTTTGCAGAAATATAATAAAAATTCATCCTAATAGAGATCACTAAAGACAAAATAATTTTTAAAATAACAAAGTTAGAGAACTCACATACTAATTTCAAGATATATTACAAAGCTGCACTAGTCAAAACAGTATGGTGCTTGCTAGAATTAAGGAAAAATGATTAGCTGGGCAGTGGAGTCCAATTATAATTAGAGAGCATATATGGCCAAATGATATCAACCAGTGTGTCAAGACCACTCAACCACACTATACCAAACTAGCAGGGTAACAGACAAAACACAGGGACAGGACAGAATCTTCAACAAATGGTGCTAGAAAAATTGGCTAGCTACATTAACAAAAATTTAAGTTGGACCTTATCTTATTTCATGTACACGAATTAACTCAAAAGGGTTACATTCCTAACCATGAGTATTAAAATACAGGGGAGTAAGAAAATACAGGGGAAAAAAAAAGCCTCAAGACAAGGACTTCCTATGTTTCATACCAAAATACAGGCAACAAAAACAGAGCAAACTTAAAATGTTTTATGCTTCAAAGGACATTATTAACAGGATGAAAAAGCAATCTATGAAAAAGGAGAAAACGAAAAATGCAAATCAAAATCAGTGAGATGTCAACTCATACCCTTTAGGAAGTTACTATGTAAAAGTCAGGAAAAAACTAAGTGTTACTTAGGATGAAGAGAAATGGGGGACACCTGTATATAGTTGGTGTTGCAACTGGTTATGGACAACAGTATGAAAGTCTCTCAAAAAATTAAAAATATAACTATCATATGGTATAACAATCTCACTTCTGAGTATACAGCCAAAAGAACTAAGAGAAAAGTCTCAAAGATACAATTATACAAGATTTCATATTGTGAAAATAACAGTCAAAGTGGAAGCAACCTATGCTTACTGACAAATGGATGGGCAGACTGTGGTATACAGACAATGGAATATATTCAGCTTTAAAATGGCAATTCTCTCACATGCTACAACACAGATGAACCTTGAAGACATTATAGTAAGTGAAACTATTCATAAAACCCAAAACGATTCCACTTCTATGAAGTATCAAAAATAGTCAAATCGGCCCTCCCTGGTGGCGCAGCGGGTTAAAGCACTGCACTGAGAAACTAAAGCCACTTCCGCATGAGTTCGATCCCCGCCTGCCCCGGAGGTGACCACATGGCGTGGCAGACCTCTCCTGACCCACCCGCTGCTCCCCTCAGCAGTGTGCTTCGTCGATCTGCCTGTTCTGCTCCCACTCTGTCTCTGGTGAATCCTCTCACCCTCCGCATCTCTGGCCTGTACCCCAGTTCTGTATGAATAAATAAATAAATCTTAAAAAAAAAAAAAATAGTCAAATCAATAGAACCAAAAAGAATGATGGTTATAAAGGACACAGGGAACTGGGAATGAATAAGGTGGTGAAAGAATGTCTAGTGGGTAGAACTTCAGATTTGCAGGATGGACAAGTTCTGGGACTAGGGGTCAGTTTCATGACCAAATAAATATGCTTAACATTGCTCAGTTATACTCTATGGCTTTTATCATAATTAAATTTTAGTACATTTTTAAAAGTTCATGCTTATTAAATTATCGAGAAATCAATGGAAATTATTAAAAACACATATAGAGTTTGAAAATACTAGAAAACCCCATTACAATAAAGGTTTAAAGCTTCTGATAATTTTTTAAATTCTACAAAAGTAGAACATAGTTAACATAAACCTACTTACCTGGGCTTCTCTCTTTTTTCTCTTTGTCTTTCAAAATCACGTCCTCTGTCCTTTCCATCTCTTGGTTTTTCTTCTATCCTGTCTTTTACTTTATATTTTTCTTTGTATTTCTTTCCCAGAGTAATATCTTCCTGCATAGGAGGAGGTGGACTAGGAGTACGAGGTCCTTTCTTTTTACTTTGGTTGCTTTTTGAACTCCTGGAGGTAACAGAAATCTATCATTAGAGGTCCAAATAATTTTAGAAAACAGGTTTAAAAAAAATTTTTTAATAGTATTATCCAAAAAAAGGGACAGGATTTCTTTCAATTACCTGCTCTTACTGTTTTGTATATTAGTAATCAATATCTAGAAATATACACATAAATGAATGTTAAAAAATACATATAAATGAATAAAGAAATTTACTTGTATCTTTTTTTAATTATTTTGAATGCTAGGTTTCTGAGAAAAGCTGAAAGTGAAGTAGGGAAGAGTATCACAAAATAAAACAACTCCTTGAACTGAGAGATTTTTTAGCTCATAAAGAAAAGTAGAGGGAGAAAGTAAAGATCATCTGTAATTCCACACCTGCCATAATCACTGTTAACACTATGGCTATGTGCCCACTCTTTTCCCTTGTCCTGTTTTCCATTCACTGTCTCTCCTCCCACGTGCACACACACTCCTATTATTTTAGAATATACATTTCTTGTGATTTCATAAAATTTTTGTTAATAGCTCTCTTTATATAATAAAAAACAGAGTTAGATAATTATTTCTGCAGACTATAGGATTTCCTTGACTAGATATGTTCTACAACTTCTTTAAACAATTCCATATTGATTTTTTAGGTGACTTTCCTCATTTAAAGAACATACAATTACATCACCTATAAATGAAATCCTACTAATTGTTAATAACATTCATTTTAAATCTTTGCATCTACATGAAATATAACCTCTTAAATTACAAAAGGTAGTCACCTAAAAGGTTAGAATTTTGTCTTTCACATTTAGTCTACTTAGGATTGATTACTGGATACAGATTAATTTCAACTGGCATTTGAGAGCACATTTTCTGTTTATGCAGGTAATCTAATTTTTTGGTAGTATGCTTATAAAACATTATTCTTGGAAATTAAAAATTTCTCTAAGATCAACATTTTAGTTTTCTTTTTAAAACTTTTTCTAGGACTCGGTGAATTATTCAACCTGAAATTTCAAATCTTATAACTCAGTTTCTTTAGTTTTTATTTTAGTTCTCCATTTTCATGTGTCCTGGATTTACCTGATAATCACTATTTCTTGGGCCCCTCCTCCATGTCTTACCATGTCTTACTTTTCTATCATTTCCACTTCGCCTTTTGCTTTCCCAGTAAATGTATCTTAAGATTTAGTAATTCTTTTAAATATCTCATTCTACTAATTCTGTATTTGGCAATCTATGTGCTACTTTCAGTTTAAAAATTATATTCTTCTAAAATATCTTTGTTTTACATTGTGTTTATTCTCATCATGCCAATACAATATGCTCTAAGTAGTACTACATTTATGAATTAGTTTATTATATTCGTTTCTATTTTCTACAACACTGAACACTCAAGTACTGAATTTTACAGTAGTCCTTTCTTTTCAAAACTTTCTAAGTATTCATTAGCTACTTATTTCACTGTGTAATATTTATAAATGACAACATAGGCCTAAATCTTATAACTTACTTCCTGTATCCCGAGTGTTCTAATTCTAAGGTTTATTAACTATAGAAATGTAACTGGAAATAACTACCTAAAATTTTCTGGTATGATGAAAAGTTAAAAATACAAAAGCAACTGGAAGCATTCAAAAAATTTAATTCTCTTAGTCCTTAACCCTGTTTCTTACTAAAGGTGGCGCTAACCACTTGGCAAGCCAGAAATTACAATATGACCAAGTCTGTTTTTCATCTTTGTTTTGCCAAAAACCAAACTAGCAGTAAATCTCACTGCATATTTGTGAGAAAACACAAACTTTTTGTGTGTCTAATGGACAAGTGATAGATACCTTCATGTTTGAATCATTTTCCACTTAAAAGCAACACTAATCAAATTAGTATCTGCATCAAAAGTATTACCTGTACTAGTACTATCTGTATCAAAAGTTATTTGAAATATTTTTTGACAAGAGTGTAAACTTCATGACACAAACTATATTTTCACCACACTGCCAGTACAGACTAATTAGGTATTGGCAAATTTCTGTCTTGTAAAAATTATTCAACCATATTGTCCAGTTTGGATTTTTTTTTGAAATTAGGCATGGCCAAGTGATTACTAACCCAAAGAATGTGAGTGGAAATGATGTACATAGCTTCTAGGCTTGACTAATAAGAGACTCTCATTCACAGGTAACTATAAGCCATACAGCTAAATTACTACTATTTGAGTCTAATACTCAAATTAACTGTTTTACTTGTATTATTTCATTTTCTGTGTGTCCTCAAAAACCCAAAGAGGTGGAGTCATGCTATATAAGGAACCTGGGTAACTAATGCTTAGCAAGCCCCTGTTAAACAGGGGCATTCATTTTGACTTTAGTTGAGTGAGAAATGAACTCTTGTTATGCTGAACTCATATGTTAGGATTAAGTCATTATAACAAAAAGATTACCCCAATATACTTAACAAAGTACAGAATTTCTTTACATTTACTTTCACAAATATATGTGATTGGAAAACACAATTATGTCAGACAGTTTTCAACAACCTTCTAAGGGACAAAGTGGTTTCTTGCATTCTAAAGTAAAGAATGTATTCAGCATTTAAAAAGTCAACTCTTTTTTTTTTTTAGTGGCACAGAAATAATTTCCTATGTAGACTGACAACTCAGTTATGTACTTCTATCCTTTTTAGGTCTTTTCTCGCCCCCCTACTTTTACCCCCACAACCCTTTCTTTAGAGTTGTTTCTGACACTGTTTCATACTTTATTTTTTTTTTTTTACAATTGCTATTTTAAAATTTTACTTAGTAAAAACTAAGAAACATTACAGATGGAAAGAACAGGTAATACACTTGCTGATTTGAACTCACAGTGTATCTTATTTAACAGCATAAAGTTTACTACTGGCTAGATCTAACAATAAATGTGAAATCAAACTGCCAATGAGTTCATTTTCTGCTTTGCATGTCTTAAGTTTGTTATCGACATAACATACTCTAGTTAAGATAAACTGAACTAAAGAAATGTTATATTCAATATTTTCTTGTACCTTCAATGTACTGTTTTCAGCTCCTTCTGCTTCTATAATTAAATTAATGGTGCATCTTAAAGTCAACAACATCTTAGAACAGAGGAAATATTATACTTTAGTTAATTCAACATGACTAACCATTCATGTTAAAGTCATCAAACATATTATTAATAAAGTTGTAAGAGGACAAAATGAAGCTAACCCTTTACCCAAATAGTTATTAAAATTCTAGTCAGATAACAAATTTCAAATATTTTATGATCTGTTAAGGAAATGAAAATGGATATTTAAGATCCACTGCTTTTGAGGGAAGGGAGTCTACTGGAATTAAGTGATAGTTATTTAACTTGGTAGCCAAGAGAATAAAGAACTGAGATAGATCACATCCCATTATACTTCAACTTCTTATCAATTTGCAGCATTTATTCAATCCCAGAAATAAATGAGATCATGTCATACTGATAAAGGGAAAAGAAACTGTGTTCAATAAAGAAAACTGGGAAAACTTAATGGAAAATCCAGTCTTGGAGCTAAACATTCAAATACTGAAGTGAAAGGACAGGAAGACTGGCAAAAAAAAAAAAAAAAAAATACAGAGAAGACTACGAAGATCTAAGTATGAATGTTATTCTAAAGAATCCAAATTTCAGTAAACAGTGGAAAATCACTGAGTGCTTTCAATGGAATAATAAGCTAATTAGAACTGTCTAATGTCTCATGAGTTTGCAGTGTATGATACTTGTGCATTTGTTTTACTTTCATGATATCGTGTGACGATTTCTCTCACTTCTATAAAACGAATGGGTTTGAGCAACTGAATGAAAATATTTATATATGGTGAAGTGAACACTATATAAAGTGAGTTCAGTTAGTAAAATGATATCATTATCTATGACAAAGGAGGAATATAGCCTCTAGAAGTTAGGAGACAAATCTGATTTTTATTATAATTCACAGAAGATTTGCCCATTAGATGTTGGGAAGATTTTAGTTTACCTTTTTACTTAAAACTAGTATTATGTGCTTTAATTAAAATAAAATTTAAGTCATAGAGTGACATTCAATCAAAAACACGATGTATCTTCAATTCATACATAAAACCATCTGTTTCAACTACAATTTTTCAGTATATTCATATCCAAGACATATATACACACTTGGAAAAAAAAAACCTAATCTCTTTTATCACTTTTACCAGAAGAGTATAAATACAAACATGAAAAAACTAAACTAATAAATGAATTGTCATTAAATTTTTTTCTATTACATAGACAATTAAAAAAGTGAGAAAACAAGTTTACAAATAGAAAGGTATAGCCAAGTTAAGTAGATGAAAATAAAATATATTGCAAAATCATAAGTACCATGAAAGTAAAATAAATGCACAAGTATAAACTGCAAATTCATGAGGGGTAGACAGGAAACATCAATTTGTGTTTTCTATTTGAAAAACTAAAAAGCTGAAGTATATGCAGATAGGACAGACATTTGTTTTTTCTTTTTTATTTAAACATTTACCCTCTCCATTATTTTAGAAGAAAAAAGCTTATATTAAATATGGAATGTATTAAAATACCCTTTTATTATCTACTAAGTAATTCCTTTGAACATCACTTTAGAAAAGACTTTCATTTTGGCACTTTTTATTACCCTACTGACCTCTGCTGGTCCAACAAAGGAGAAGATACTGTAGTAGTCTTTCTGTCCTTCTTGTTAGCTGAAGATGATGACTTAGGGCTTGATTTTCGCTTCGGAGATTTGCTAGACTTTCTTAAAGAAGGTGATGGAGATAATTTTGATCTAACAATTTCAGGTGAAACCTTTCAAAGGAATTCAGTACGATAATTTAGAAACATTTCCATTCACTGATGTTATAATTAGATGGTAAATCATGAGTTTTTTAAAACCACACCAGACTTTAAATACTAAGCCCTATCATAGCACTCTGTATGGATAATACTCTGACCCCTGCACCCATGCTTTTAACTGCCTGGCTAATTTAATTGTTCTAACAAAACAATAATATTAATAAAGGAAATAATATACTGAAATTTCAAAATATTCTCAAAAATACTGCAAGTTACATTCAAATAAACTGTATCTCTAATCATTAGAAAAGAAACAAGTATTTTATAGGTAGCACAGGTCTAAAAAACAGACACCCAGAAAGTCAAATCTCACTTTACATTAGCTGCAATAAAACTTAGTTTTGTTCATCTGTTTAGCAGCAAAAATATCTCCTTATTGTATTTACTCATCTTCTAATTTACTAATAATGTGAAGATTACTGGCAGAAGTTTATATACAGTAAGTTATCAATAAATTACTAACATAGTTCAATAAATCAAATCACATACCTCCTTTTTAATAATAATTTCTTCTCGCTTTTCCATGTTTTCTTGTTCCAGTTTCATTAATTCCCTCTGTATTTTCTGACGCTTCATTTCCAATGACAATTCATGAACATAATCATAATTAATATCTCCATTGTCAGAATCTTTAAAATAAAAACTAATTACTGTAAGAAATTACAATTATATAAAAAAACTAGTACTATTTTTCAACAAACTTAAATGATATTGTTTCACTAAAGTAAGACACTTTCACAATGAAAGAAACATACACTGTTTCTATAAAAGATTAAAGTCAATGGCTGATTTCAGGGCAAAAAATGAACAAAATCAGAAACCAAATACAGAATGGAACTCGAAAATAATTCCAAAATAATTTTATATACTCAGAAACAGTCATACCTTACAATTTAAAGTTATAATTACTTAATAACATGATTTTTTAAATTATCACATTATCAGGAAAATGCTGAGTGTTGTTGGAATGGTGAAAAATTTTAAATACAACAGAAAAGTACATAAGGAAAGGCTGACATTCTTTATAAAGAAGTCTTAGGAATTAAATGAAAAGAAGGCAAAAGGAACAAAGAAATCAAAAGAACTACAAATGAGGCCCTCCCTGGTGGCAGTTAAAAGCACAGCACTAAGAAACTAAAGCCACTTCAGCAAGAGTTCAATCCCTGCCTGCCCTGGAGGTGATCCATAGGGTGTGGCATACCTCTCCTGACCTGCTACTCTCCTGACCAGCCCGCTCAGCAGCATACTTCATCGATCTGCCCGTTCTGCTCCCTACTCTGTCTCTGGTGAATTCTCTCACTGCCCTAACACCTAGTTTTGTAGGCACAAATAAATCTTTAAAAAAAAAAAAATTGCAAATGATATGTAAGTATGCCTTTTTTCATGTATTAAACAGCCATACCACTTCCCCAATTATAATACCGGTTTTTGTAAAGGTACAAGGAGAAGGTATGTTTATTTTCTAGTGGTAGCAGCATAAACTAGTATGTCTATACAAGGAAATAATTTGCCAAGATGGGTAAAGGCCTTAAGAACATTCACATCCTTTAGTAAAATAATTTCACTTCTAGTAATTTATCAAATGAAAATAATCATAGATATTTACATTCTTATCTACAACAGTATAATGTGTAAGACTTAAAAACAATTTGAGCACTTCCATTTATCTTTAATATATATACTCACTAAATTAAATTTCAGTATTAACCAATTCTTAAGAATAAACAAAGTAAAACATGAAAGTCCCATTATAGTCCTCCTGTTTCCTGTCTTACTGCAGGAATAATAATAGTAATAGTTTATTATGCTTAGAAATAAGCATTCATGTTTCTTCCCTTTATAATGGGGCAAAAGCTGCCCACATGGTCTTAAAGAAAGAGCCTGCATGTCATACATAAAGGTTGATAGCCACCATCATGTTAAACTCTACAAAGCACTTCATCATAGAAACATATAAATATAATTTATTTAACCACTTACTTTTGATAAGACACTTAAGATTGTTTTTATAAACCAAATTTCAACGAACAATTTGTTAACTGCATTGGTTCACAAATGCAAATATTTCTTTAGGACAGATTTCTCAAACTAAATTTAGTGGACAAGCGGTAATTTTTAATCCTGTTGAATTACATTCCAAAACAGCTTTAGCAATGTAAACTTTTGATAGCACTAATATTTTTCATTTGTGCCAAGTTGACAGCTGAAAAATGCTATCTCTTTTATTTTCTTGATATTTCCCTATAATAAGCCGGAGCATTTATTGATCATTTCAATTTCTTCTGTGAATTATCCAACTATCTTTTCTTGCCCGTTTTTGAAATAGACTATCTTTTTCTGACATATCTGTAAAAGTTCATTATGTATGTGTATGTTTAATAGTATATGTGTATATATATCATACAAGTGTGTACACATATAAACACACACATATACATATAATACTATATATGTTTACATGGTATTTTTACTGTATACTCACATGTGCTCCACATGTCAAATATGTCTATCAACCTATTTTTAACGTATATTTACTTATACAGAAATATTAAAATTTTATACAATCTAGTCTTTTACAGATTCAGGGTTCTACATTTGATTTTTAAAGGCTATACCCACCTTCAAGATAACTGATCCTTAACAAATGAGCAATGTCTAAGGAATCAAAGACAGAGCTATGTGGAGGGAGACTAGAAATATGGGGAGCAACCACATAATTAGAAGTTCTATAAGCACAGTTAGAATTTGTACTTGTACATGATCTTGAAGGCAATGGGAAATCAGAAAATTTTACACAGGGAAAAGAAATGAACCAACTTTCTTCAAAGGGTATTCTGCAACACACAAAGTAGTAGAAGACACATGCAATATGTCTAATAAAGATCTTATAGCCAAAATATATACAGAAATGTCACCACAATAAAAGAATTGGCAACAACTTGGAGTAGACAGTTTGCAAACTGATTGTACAATGGTCACCAAACATGAATAAATTCTCAACTTCGTAAGATATTAGGAAATGCATAGTAACAGCACCTTACTCCTATTTGCCCCAAAGTAGAAATTACTCATTTATCAACAAAAGAATGGATATTATGCAGTAAGTTATAATCAAGTATTATATAGCAGTAAGTAAATGAACTACAACTATGTGCAATAACAAGTATTTTTAAGTCACACCCACATAGCATACCTGCTATGAATTCCATTTACATAGAATTCAAAACTGAAAAAACTAATCAATGATATTAAAAATCAGATCAATTGTTTACCTTTAAGTAGTAGAGGCTGGGTGACAGTGACTGGAAAGGGAACACACGAGGGCTTGCATAATAGTAACTGTTTTTTTACTGAGTTGTTTGCTAGTTATGCAGATCTATTTCAGTTTGTGAAAGTTACGATTCATGCACATGAATTATACATTCCTCTGTAGTATATTATATTTTAGTGAATACACAAAACACTTCAGCACCTTTTAAAAAGATAATCCTAGCTTTCAAGTGGAAGACAAAGTGCTAAGACTATATATAAGCAAGTCATGAGATTAAGTGCTTTATTAATAGAGTATTTATAAAGTAAATCTTAAGAAAAGAATTATGTATAGTAATACAGAGAAGTGGATGGTACAGAAAGCAATTCAGTAGCTAGAAATGCCAGAACTCTGTAAATGTGTACATGGAAGGAAAGAAGGGGTATCAATGATGACCCTGCCTTTTAGGAACACAGTCAGCATACAAAACTCAGGGAGATACAAAACTCAGGGAGAGATAGCCAACTGAAAATGCTTCAATTTCTAGAGCTCAACCTGAGAGCTCTGGTTATCAGTCATTGATACAGAGATATTAATGGTGTTCAGAGGACAAATTCAAAGTAGGAAGGAGACTAACAACAGGAAGGCAAGCAGAAGTCTTAGAAGATAAGTGATTTCTCAGAGTAGTTTGAGGACTCTCGGGAGTCCCTGAACAAATTTTGGGAGCTCCAGAAGATTAAAAGTGTTTCTGAAATATGTTGTTTGTCTGGTTTAATCATCCTCTCATGAGTATAGACTAGTGCTTACAGAACAAAACATGAAGCAAATATGAAAATATAGATGTGTGCTACTCAAGTTGGACATAAGCAAAACATGGGTGACTTAGTGATGGGAAACCCGCGGGGATTACAATTGAAAAAAAATATGTACAAAATCATGTAAAAATAAACTGTTATAAATTAAAAAAATAAAGTTGGATTGTCTGCAAAATAAAAAAAAATAAGCAAAAACATGAAAAAACATTGCCAATGCCCCATAATATTTACTTCTGACTTGCAGAACAGTTATTTTTCATAAGTACATGTTGGGCTTATTATTGTAATTGTTAAACAAATCAACAGACACTGAAAACATATCTCAATTTCTAATAAACTACTGGAACAGATAATCCTCAAAGACAGAAGTTCTTTGGGGGGATCTTTAAAAAAAAAAAAAAACAAAAAAAGTCCTGAGACCAAGAATTTTAGAAATACTATTTTTTTCTGGACTTTGCTAAATAATTATCTACTGTAGATGGAAAATGCAGAAGTTATGTCTATTAAACCAGTTTAGTGTATCTTTTAATTAAAGTGACTAATTACCAAGCTTCAACATTCCATCAAAAGGTAATTTTTAAACCACAGATTTACAATGGCCAAAACCTGAGAGTTGAAATCAAGTGAAAAACATAAGAAATGGCCAGGTGAATATTTTGTATGTGAAAGTATTAAAAACATTTAATCACCCTTTAAAATATGTTCTTATACAAAAGGCTCTTGTAATAAGATAATTTTGACAAGTGTAAAGTCTTGAGGATCAACATATGTGGAATAGACAGAATATAAAGTGTGTATAGGAAAATGAAGAGTGAACAGTAAGGCAGAAAACTCAAAGAATGACAGAAGAAAGTCAAAGGAATAGTTAGGGACTCTTGGAATGTATATGCTGCAGAAAGGTTACAGAACAGAGAAACAAGTCCATTTATGTTTAATAAACGAAAAGGAAGGTTTTAAGTGACACTGAATAACAATTTTAATAGAATTTGAGCCAGACGATTAAGTAGAAGGTGTAGATAGTAAGATACAGAATTCCTTTAAGAATTTAGTTGCAAAGGGTGATAAGTAGATTGATGGTTTAAATATGGGAAGAAAAAAAATATGTCAAGATAAATGTTAAAGGTATAAAAGAAAATGTATAGTGAATGAACAAAACTGTAAAGATGGAAATCAGATCCAGAATATAGAGGAAGAGAACCTCATCCAGCAGGAAGGAAATTTACACAGAACAAATGGGAAGTAAAATCAGTTAGGTGTAAATAAAATGTTAATTTCAGGTGTGGTGGCAGAAATTGAGGCAGTTTATGGATGAGGAGTTTCAGCATCTCTACACAGTAGAAAGAAAGGGAGAAACGAAGGGACTGACTATATTTTTTTTTTTTTAAAGATTTATTTTATTTGTACATACAGAACTGGGGTACAGGCCAGAGGCTCAGGGGCGGCGAGAGGCTTCACCAGAGACAGAGTGGGGAGCAGAACAGGCAGATCGAGGAAGCACACTGCTGAGGGGAGCAGCGGGCGGGTCAGGAGAGGTCTGCCACGCCATGTGGTCACCTCCGGGGCAGGCGGGAATCGAACTCATGTGGAAGTGGCTTTTAGCTTTTCAGTGCAGTGCTTTAACCCGCTGCGCCACCAGGGAGGGCCGGGACTGACTATATTTAAGGGGAGGATTTGACTACTATGAAAGAGGAGAAAATTAACTTAGGTTTTTTAAAAAATTCTGTTATTTTCAGCAATTTCCATGGATTATTATAAAGTGAATAGGGAATTTTTAAAGTACCCAAATATATTTCAGAATTTTTTAATAAAAAATTGAAATAAAAAGACATCTGCCTAGTTAAGTTAATCCTTCAGTATTGATGAATGGTTAGCAACTACCCATCTTGAATAATCAAGATTTGTAATGCTGTATTTTTAAGAGTTGGGACAGCATTAAATAGTTCCCTTAGTCATCGTGCTGCTACTATGCCTCATTTTCTCCCTTACTATTCAATAAGATGAAAACAAGTCAATAAGACAATTCTCAACAGTAAAATCTAGATTGAAAATGTTTTAAGTTCACATCTCTATAAACTGAATAATTAATAAGGTGAACAGAAACAAAAATCTAAAAACTCACCATCTCTATTGGTTTCCCATTCTACATTTTCTTCTTCACTTTCTGGAGTCCTCTCCTTAGTGATTTTTATGTCTTCTTTTTCCCTATGTCTCCCTCTTGAAGATTCTTTCTAAAAAGTACACACAGACACACATAACTGTTACCATTATTTGAAAAAACTATGAGGTTTTCACTGTTACAGATCATTTCTAACATGATTGATCTGCCAGTTTGTAAGTAATCATTTACCACTAAAACAGAAGTGACAAGTTCTAGAGAAGCACCACAATAAAGAGCTTATGCTCTAATCCATTTTCCTAAAAATGTTACTTGGTAAGTATAAGGAGTACCTGAAACTTAAAAATACACAATGTAAACCAAATACTTTAGAGGCATTTGATAGTCTATTAAATACTACATTTATATGTGAAAAACCACAGTGAAATAGTTTTAAATGTATAAAACAACAATGGAGTTTGGAAGTGACTAATGAATGACTAATAAAGGGCGGCATCATTCACAATCCTCTCAAAACTGCTGGTCTAACATTTATCAAATAACATTGCTGCATTTTTCCTACAGACAGATCCAAACACATTTAATTGTATTACTGCTTAAAAAAAAAAAAATCCCCCACTTGATGAAACCAAAATGGTAGCTGTAATAGAAAATTAGTCTTTAGATGGCCATGAAAAATCAGTTGTTTGTTATTCCAGTGGAATAGTAGTCTATAGACAAAATGGGACAATACTATAACTTATATAGTTATATATAATATATATAACATATAACATATATATGTAACTTATATAGCTTATAACAGTCTATTACCTAAATACTACAAACCACAGTTTATTTAGTAAGAAGATAATGTAACCAGTGTCACATAATTTGTATTTTACACCAGAGTATTTCACTCTATTAATGCACTAATCCACAAGAATATTACATGCTGAAAATTCTTTCTGAACATTACCAGACATGAAATATGACTGCTTAAAATATAAATTAATTTAATTCAAAGCCTTCCCTCTCCTCCCATTAAAAGAACACTAGTACATATAATTTTCCCTAAATTTAAGTATGAATTCATGTTGAAAGAATTAGTAACAGGCATACAACACAAACTAGACTGACAAATCATTTAAAGATTATACAAGAGTAGAAATAGCCATGGAAAAATGGTGTATGGTCAAAAAAAAAAAAGAGAAAGAAAAAGAAGAAAAATAAGACAAATGAGCTCTTATTTATACAAAAGACAAAAGGTAAAAAAGAAATAAAACTTATTTTCATTCTTCAAATGAATTCTGTGTATCATTACTGAAAAACTATTTTATATTCCATATACACACTGAATGTTTTATAGATTAAACTCAGTATAAATATAAACCAGTACACAACAATATAAACCAGTACACAACAGATCAAAAATTTATAGAAAACTCACCTTCAAATTACTCCTATATTATTCTACTAAAGCATCATGAAACCTGAAGCTACAAACTTAGTACTAATGCTGCAAAAACCAAAATCTGCAACAGATTTTTAATAGCTTCAGAAGCAGAAATGTCAGCTCTCATTCTTAATTTGTTTAAATATTCCTTAACATTTACTCCATATACTTGAATTATATAACTTGAGTAGTTATTTTTTTATAACAGTTTATTTTTACATCATTTTGTACATTTTTTTTTCATCTCAATTGTAATCCCCGTGGGTTTCCCATCACCATGTCACCCGTGTGCCATCACCAAAATCCCGTGCACTTCCCCCCCTCCCCCGCCCCGTTTTTGATCCCCATTCCACCCCCGCAAAATGTCTCTGGTATATGGTTGTTCATTATTTTTGTTATTTTCTCGCCTGGTCCATTATACTCCTGCTATGAGTAGTCTATTTTTTTAATCGAACTGATGCTATCCTCAGGAGCTTATAACCTCAGGTTGTTTTAATGTCCTATTTTCTCATTTCTCCACTTCAATACTGTAATTTGTCTATCATGTCATTTATTTGTCAGTTATTTTCTCCTTTCTCTTATCATACTCAAATAAAAAGGGGTCTAGAATTACTTGTCTCATGTACCATGTCTTCTATTTCACCATCCTATATAACTTCAATAGAATTGCTGGCCATCTTACTTCTCTTAAAAGCAACTGTATTATTTAGAAGCATATCCAATGACAATTACATATTCTAAAGTAATCACCACCCTGGAATATGTACATGTTGAATATAAAATTTTTAACCAATACACTAGGGACAAGGTATTTTAAGAATGTGGAATGTGTTTGGATTCTCAGTCACTACTGATTTCATTGTTGCCTCACACACATTATATTTTTTCCTGGGATTCCAAGCATATGTACACTAGATTTTCCCCACATTTTTAAATCCCTTTACCACTTCTATAACCTTGTCTTACTGTACTATATTCTGGATAAATTCTTCAGTTCCACCTTCTCAATTCACCAATTCTCTTTACAGCTATGCTCCCAGCTTAGTCTGATTATAGTTTTAAAAGTCTCAAAGTCAGCACCAGTTTTCATGTGCTATTAAATTCTTTTTTATTATCAATTTTGCATTCTTGAGAAAGCAGCATTACATTCAACGTGTCTGTCGCCACTTATGCAAGACCTTTTATAGTAGTGGGACATTCAAGAATACAGAGCGAATAAATAGTGCTAAGAGGAAGTACCATTAGTTCTTGAACAATCTTATCAAAGTTGGCCTACTTTTTTAAAATATAAAGTTCAATTCCCCTTGGACTTATCTACAACTATTGTCAGGTCAACTATGCCATACTTGTGACAGCTTTTGCCTGAGATCACGTTTATAACACTAACATGGGTTTTTGCTTGAATGACTGGGAGGAGTACTGATATGTATTTGATGAGACAAAGATGAAAAGAGGGAAAAATCTACTACTACCTCTTCCATTCATTATCATATATATTTTCACCCCTTAAACGGAATTTCCTTATATCTTTCCATAATCACTTGCAGAAACTTCCTTTGAAATTGATAAAAAATATAACAAAACATAAGTCAAAGACTCAATTATTTAATGACATTACCCTTTTACTAATATCCATTTTAACATAGCTATATAAATTTTACCATCACTAGTCTAAATATGTTACTCATAGTAATAAAGCCAAAATCAGTTTCACATGGGAATTTTTCTAAACCTCTAAAAACTGGAACAGCAATACCACTTAAATATTCCAAAGTAAAACACTTGTTATTGGATGGTATTTGGGCTACCGGCAAAGCACTACAGAGTTATTTGAAAGTAGACTTGAGTCAGTTGTAAATGTAAACTGGAAACTCGATGGCAATCATTAAAAATAACACGTACAACTCAGAGAGAAGAGAACAGACTAAAAATGTTCAAATTACAGGAAGCAAAAAACAGTGGAGGACCAAAAAAAAGGGAGGGGGGCAACACATAAAGAATAGGCACACAGTATTCATTTACCAGCATCAATTTACTCAAAGCACGGATTAAAAACCCAGAGATTATTGAAATGGATTAAGAAACTAACTTTATCTGACTATAAAGACACATATATTAGAAGTAAAAGGATGAAGAAAAATATTAAGCAAATAAAAGAGAGAGTAGTTACATTAATTTCAGACAGAGCGGACTTCACAAGAAGGAAAGTTACCAAGGACAACAAGAGAGTATTAAATATGGAGGTAAAAATGATAACTAAGTTAAAAAGTCACAATCCATTATTCAAACTGCAGCCTTCAGAACCCTCTATCAGAAGTGGATAGATTCAGCAGGCAGAAAATCAGTAAGAATATAGTTTCATCAAATCAACTGGATATAACTATCACCCACAGACTACTTCATTCAATGACAGAATAAACATTCTTTTCATGCTCACATGGAGCATTCAACAAGATAGATCACATGCTGGGTCACAAAAATACGCTTTTAAAACTGACCACAATGCAATTAAACTAGCAACCAGTAACAAAAGAACACTGAAAGGTCCCAACATATAGAGAGATTAAACAATACAATTCTAATTAACTTATAGATCAAAGAAGAAACCTCAAGAGCAATATTTAAAATATTACAGAATAAATGAAAACATTACAATTTTCAGGATGCAGCATTAAATGCATATAATGTAGTGGGAAAATAAAAATCAAATTTCAAAAATGTAAGCCACAGGGCAAGTCTCAATGCTATCAAGCTATGGCCAGACACTGCAGCATGAGCTGGATCCTATGCCAGGGAGCTAAACCACATGGTGCAGCTGACCTCTCCTGTCCTGCCTGCTGCTCCCATTAGCTTTCTATTTCAGTCAATCCTCCTGCTCTGCTTTCCACTGTCTCTGGTGAATCCTGTAAATCCCCACATTCATGGCCTACAACACCGTGCTTGTATGCATAAATAAATCTTTAAAAACAAAAGCCACCACCTTAGAAATAAAGCTAATTAAATCTAAAGTATCTAGAAGAATAAAATTATAGCAAAAATAAGTACGAAATGAATGAAAACAGAAAACTGAATGAAACCAAAAGCTAACTCTGACTAGGCCTGTATTTGCTAGATAAATTGAATAATTAATAACCTTTGAAAATAGAAAGTACCTGGCTCAGATGTATGAATTCATGATAAAATTCACTCATGAATGAATCACAACTATTTAACAAAGACATTACTGTATCAATTCTCTATACTCTTTCAGATGAGAAATGCATATGGAATGCTTCCTGACTCATTCAGGATAAATGCATAATATAATGACCTTACACTTTTAGACTTACTTCATGTCTCTCATGAACACAGATGCAAAAATCCTGAATAAAATGCTAAGTTAAATTCAACAATGTATAAAAGAATTATACACTACAATCAAAAGGGTTTTATCCCAGTATACAAATCTGTTTCGATATTTGAAAATTAATACCATCATGTCAACAAATAAAAGAACTCTCATGATCCTACCAATATACACACAGAAAAAGCACTTGACAAACTCCAATACACATTCACAATAAAACCTCTTGGTGAACTATAAACAGGTGAGTTTCCTCAACTTGATAAAGAATGGCTACAGAAACCTACAAATAACAAAATACTTAATGGTGAGAAACCGAAACATCAGGAACAAA